CAAGAGCTTTAAGTTTAAATTACTTAATTTCACACATTGTATTGTTGCTTCAATAGTATCACATTTATGTCCATTATTGTACTACACACATCTATGTGTGATTTCAGTGTCTGCTTACGGTTTTTAGCCTTTGAACAGTGTGTTTGTGTTGTCTGTTCACTGGGGTAGTATTTTATAATGGGCTTCTTTGGTTTTCAATGAAAAATTCTTATAGGCTTCCTTAGCTTGGGTTACTTTAGTTACTTGTTCTCTAAAGCTATGTACCTGCTATCTACTGTCTCTCAATGGCATCGCGAGAAATTGGGGATCCAGAAACAAAATGATTTCCCTATAGATATTTGTGTTTCCCTCCCGTTTTTTGCCATCAAAGCTTTAATTATATTAGTCCCCAAGTGAAAACAAAGCAAATGTTTATCATCAGATTGTGCACCATGTATTATCAGATTATCATCAGATGCAAATTGTGCATTGTGTGTTTTGCATCTTGAGTTAGCAGTTATTTCATGGTTGTGTACATTTGTTAAAACCCTCTGAAACTGTACACTTAAACATGGGGATGTTTTATTTTATGCATATGATATCTCAATAGAATTGATTTTTAAAGTAAAAAGTGTAATTTTCAGTATTTCCTTACTATTGTTTTAAAGTAGAGATAAGGCAAACTGACCATTTTAGCTATTTTGAAGTGTACAATTGAGAGGCAAGCTGTATATTGTACAATCATCACTACCATCCATCTTCAGAACTTTTTCATCATCCCAAACTGCAACACTGTACCCAAGATTTAGGGTATTTAATAAGATTGCATTTTTTTTTGTTTTTTGTTTTTTTTTAAAGACAGAGTCTTGCTCTGTCACCCAAGCTGGAGTGCAGTGGTGAAATCTCGGCTCACTGCAACCTCTGCCTCCTGGATTCAAGCAATTTTCCTGCTTTAGCCCCCTGGGGTCGCTGGGATTATAGGTGTATGCCACTGAACCTGGCTAATTTTTGTATGTTAATAAAGATGGGGTTTCACCATGTTGATCAGGCTGGTCTTGAACTCCCAACCTCAGGTGATCTGCCCACCTCGACCTCCCAAAGTGCTGGGATTACAGGCATGAGCCACCATGCCTGGCCAAGATTGCATTCCATCTACAAATTTAATTGGGGAGAATGTTCACATGTTCCTCATTTTAGTGTTCATCACAAATGGGTTTTTTAATTTGACCCAGGATCCATTATTTAGGAAGTATTTCCAAGATTTTAGTTGCATGTCATTACTTTTTTGAAATTTTTATTTTTTTGAGATGGAGTCTCATTTTGTCACCCTACCTGGAGTGCAGTGGTGCTATCTCGGGTGTTGTCCTAATCTGGAGCCTTCTGGTCCATTTCCTCCCAGTTGTAAAATTATGTTTTGTGCAGCGTCAGTGAAGGAATCTGGGGATTTAACAACTCCTTGCAGACATTTTCAACCAGTTCCTTGAACTTTCATTCCTATTCCTTATGTCTATCTTCTGAAATTTGCCAAGACTCTGCTTCCTGGACCTTTCTGGGGTTGGCTTTTAGTTCTTCCTCTGTGCTAAGACAATTACCATGCATCCATATCCTTTTCTTTTCTTTTTTTTTTTTTTTTTTTTTTAACAGAGATGGGGTCTCATTATGTTGCCCAGATTAGTCTCAAACTCCTGGGATCAAGGCCTCCCAAAGTGCTGAGATTACAGGCATGAACCACTGTATCTGGCCCATCTGTCTCTTTCTCAACTTCTTTATTTTTATTTTTTTGAGACAGGGTCTTACTCTGCTAACCAGGCTGGAGTGCAGTGGCATGATCTCAGCTCACTGCAACCTTGGTCTCCTGGATTCAAGTGATTCTCCTGCCTCAGCCTCCTGAGTATCTGGGACTACAGGTGCCCACCACCATGCCTGGCTAATTTTTGTATTTTTAGTAGAGACTACATTGGCTAGGCTGGTCTCAAACTCCTGACCTCAAGTGATCCACCTATCTCAGCCTCCCAAAGTGCTGGGAACACAGGCATGAGCCACTCTGCCTGGCCTCTTTCTCATCTTCTGAAATACTGTTGACATCCTTTGTCTGCCATCATCTTCTCTCCCAGGGTTTATACCTTTCTAGTCTTTTCATTCCACCCTCCACAGTGTATTTGATAATATTTTCTAATTCTTTAACATCTTTAAAATTTTATTTACTAATCCCTAAATCCCCATTTTATTTTTTTCTTTTTTCAGGCTTCTTGTGTTAAAATTCTAGTGTTTCTTTTATTTTTTCCCCTTGGCTGCCTGCTTTTCTCTCTCTTTTTTAGGCATGAAAGCAAGCTGGGAGATTTCCAGACACTCTAACTATGCTGCTGTTTTGTGTGTTCCTTTTTAAAATAAGAGATAACACAAAAATCAGACAAACCGCTAATCATCACTAAGTAATACCAAATAAACCATGGAATATTTATTTACAAAGTGTATTCTATCTCAGACCATAAAGGAAAATGCAACAAATTTGAAAAAGGTGAACATTTTAAAGGTCTCATTAAAGTATACTCCTAAGGTATAAAAACACATAAAACTCACATTTTCTGGAGTAAATATGTTTTTATACCTAGTGTGAACCATTTCAATTTTGATATGGCCTTTGTCCTAAGAATTATTTAGGAGAATGTTCTGTGGTTTGCAAGTAGGTTTCTTTTGGGGAAGCCAGTCTTACGTTTTGCTTGATAGTTTTATTACATTATTATGTGGTCAGATAATTCGGCCTTTACATTTTTACTTTTTGGAATTTGTGGCATTTTTCTTTACGGTCTGAGATATAATAAATTTTGTAAATATTCCATGGCTAATTTGGCATTACTTAGTGATAATTAGTGTTTGTCTTATTTTTGTGTTATCTTTTATTTTTTTAAAAAAATACAAAAAAACAGCAGCATGGTTAGAATGTTTAGAAATCCACAGTCTCAGTTAGTTTCATGCCTGGAGCAGCCTAAGGGCTAGGCTGTCTTACCTGGTGATAACAAAGGCAAAACTAAAACGAAATTCAATGCCGGAAAGATTCTCTTTACTAGGTCACTCCTGAAATTACAGAGGCACTGAGAGCGAAACACAATATACCACACAGCCTTGGGTAGAAATTCTTTTTTGATCTTCGGCCATATTTCACCATCTGGTAGATTTGGATGTTTTTGAAGTTTTAGCCTCAAACAATTCTGCTGTTTATTTCAATAATTGGGATTTGGTCATCCTACTGGGACTTGGCTGTTATGTCACTGTCATCTTAAACACATTTTTTTCCTTGAAAAAAAAAAAAAAAGAGTAGAGTAATAGGCAGCTCTATTCCTCTTCACTCCAATTGCTTTTTGAGTTGCAGCAAGTAGGATTTCAGATTTCTCTATCCAAGCAGTCAATAAAAATATATTGAGTGTCTGCACTGTGCCATCGTAACATATGGGCAAATGATATCATCCCTATCCTTGAGCGGCTCATTCCTAATACCGAGCTTGGAAGACAAAGCTAGAACCAAATGTAATGACTCATTAACATGATTGATTGGGGAGCGTGCAAGTGTTAGGGGAGCACAGAGGAAGACGCATTTCGTTTTCTTAAGAATGGAGGAATGGGACAGGCACGTTGGCTCACACCTGTCACCCCAGCTTCTTGGGCGGCTGAGGCCGGTGGATCCGTCAAGCTCAGGGGTTTAAGACCAGCCTTGACAACATAGGGAGAGACGCCATCTCTACAAAAAGCACACAAATTAGGGTGTGGTGGCGTGTGCCTGTAGTCCCAGCTACTTGGGAAGCTGAGGTGGGGAGAATTGTATAAGCCTGGGAGGTCAAGGCTGCAGTGAGCCGAGATCGTGACACTGTGCTTCAACCTGGACAACAGTCAGACTCTACCTCAAAAAAAAAAAAAAAGGAAAAAATGGAGTAGCAGGGAGGACCTCAGAGGGAATGTGACATTTAAGCTGGGTCTTTATTTATTTATTTATTTTTTGAGCTGGAGTCTCTTTCTGTCACCCAGGCTGGAGTGCAATGGCACTATCTCAGCTCACTACAACCTCTACCTCCTGGTTCAAGTGATTCTCCTGCCTCAGCCTTCTAAGTAGCTGGGATTACAGGCGCCACCATGCCCGGCTAATTTTTGTATTTTTAGTAGTGATGGGGGTTCGCCATATCGGTCAGGCTGGTCTCGAACTCCTGACCACATGATCTGCCCGCCTCAGTCTCCCAAAGTGATGGGATTACAAGCGTGAGCTACCACGCCTGCCCTAAGCTGGTCTCAAAATATGAATAGGTGCTAGCTAGGTAGAGAAGAAGGCATAGGCATTTTAGGTACAGAGAGTATCGTGACTGTGGCATGCAAGTAGGATAGCAGATATTCTGTTTGGGAAAGAGTAGTCAGCCTCTGCTGTCTGGCAAGTACCATGTGTGGTTGGGGCTTGGAAACAATGAGGCTGAGGACTGTGTCTGGAGTGAGACCACTAAGGGCATTGATTGCCACCCAGCATGGTGGCTCACGCCTGCAATCCCGGCACTTTGGGAGGCTGAGGTGGGTGGATTGCTAGAGCCCAGAATTTCCAGACCAGCCTGGGCAACATGGTAAAACCCTGTGTCTACAGAAAAACAAAACAATTAGCTAGGTGTGGTGGTGTGTGCCTACATTCCTAGCTACTTGGGAAGCTGAGGTGGGAGGTTCACCTGCTCCCAGGAGTTGAGGCTACAGTGAACTGTGATTGTACCACTCACTGCACTCCAGCCTGGAGTGACAGAGTGAGTCAAAAAAAAAAAAAAAAAAAAAAAAAAAAAAAAGAAGAAGAAGACATTGATTGCTATACAGAGGAAGGGATTTTACACTTTATTCTGTGGGAACTAAACAGCCACTGAAGGTTTTTAAGGATGAGACTAGGTGTGTCCTGTGTTATTTTGGTCTGCAAATTTTGGTTCTCCATTGTAAATGTCCACTAACTACAAGTGTCTCATCTTGCATTTTTCTTTTTCTGAAACATACAATTTATGATTCAGGTTTAGATGTCTGTGCCACTTGCCATGAACATGCCACATGCCAGCAAAGAGAAGGGAAGAGCATCTGTATTTGCAACTATGGATTTGTGGGCAACGGGAGGACTCAGTGTATTGGTAAGTTCTGAATCCTGGGTTGAGTTGAAACGTTGAATCAAGAAACAAGATTCTCTTGTGTTAAAGAGCTGATGTCCTTGGGGGAGAATGTTGTTATTTTGTTCACATATTTTTATTATGAGAAGTTTTGTCAATTATAATAAGTCTTTGTTTTAGCGTTTGGATACATTCATTCTCTAGTGTTTCCAAGATAGTATTCCTCACATTAGAGGTCATTGAAGTCGAATCGCTGGAAACTCTGGGACCTAACACAAATTTGACATCTGTTTTAAGTCTTAAGTTTAACCTTGCAACTCAAGTGAATATTGCATTCCTTAATTTCTCTGGTTATTTTGATGTAAAACTCTTTATATTAGTACCATGAGGAAAAAACAAAACAATTTGCTTTGGAGTTTTTGGTTAATTGGTAAAATGCTGTTGCTTTGGGTCTTACGTCTATCAGAATTCATCCTCCAAATTTTTGGTAGTTGTGATACTTTTAGGGACTTAGAAGACTTAAAGAAATTCAAAGCCTTTAGGTTAGAAGCAACTGAAATTATTGTTTGCCTTATGACATCCACCATGCTATGACAGTCAGACACTATCCAGATTCAAGCTCGATTCAGAGAGAGGGAGACTTCCACAACAATTTTACAATAGTAAATGTTGCAATAATCTTCCAATTTCCTCCCAGCAACCTTGTTAGATGCATTAAAAATATTGATGGTTTTACCTTACAGTTGTAGATAAATGGTATATACAACCTTGTTGTGATATCTTTGTGTGCTTTTTTTTCTTCCTAAAGAAAAATAGCAGCCAGACACGGTGGTTCGAGCTTGTAATCCCAGCTATTCTGGAGGTTGAGGTGGGAGGATCACTGGAGGCCAGGAGTTTGAGACCAGCCTGGGCAGCACAGCGGGACCCCCATCTCTAAAAAAAATTTGTTTAATTAGCCACGTGTGGTAGTACATACCTGTACTCCCAGGTATTCGGAAGGCTGAGGCAGGAGGATGGCTTGATCCCAGGAGTTCAAAGCTTCAGCAAATTATTTATTATCTTTATTTTATTTTTTTGAGACAGGGCCTGTTTCTCAGGCTGGAGGGCAGTGGCATGATCATAGCTCACTACAATCTTGCCACCATGCCCAGCTAGTGTTTCTCTTTCTCCTTCTCTTTCTCTCCTCTTTCTTTCTTCCTTTCCCTCCCTCACTCCCTTCCTTCCTTCCTTCCTTCTTCCTCTTCTTCCTTTTCTTCTTCCTCTTCTCCTTTTCCTTCTTCCCCCTGCTCTTTCTCTTTCTCCTCCTCCTCCTCCTCTTCCTTTTCGCCCTCTTCTTCATTTTTGGTAGATACAGGGTCTCACTATATTGCCCAGGCTGGTCTTGAACTCCTAGGCTTAAGCGATCCTCTTGCCTCAGCTTCCTAAAGTGCTGGGATTATAGGTGTGAGCCGCTGTGCCTGGCCACCAATTTTGTCTTGTCTTCAAAAAGTCACTTTCTACTTTGCAGACACAAGCTTTTACAGTCACTCACCACTGTCCATTCTGTGGGCTGGAGTTAAGGCTTCTTTGACTCTTGTTTTTTAGAGTTGTACCCATGAGAAGTTTGGCTGCCCTGCAGTCTGAGGCTCTGGTGGGTATTTCTCCTAACGCCTCGCAACTTCCCACTCCTCACCTGTACTTGCTAGCAGTGAGATAGAAATGAAGTTGAGAATGAGCAAACTTTTCTGTTCCCTTCCCAAAGGAATTCCTCCTCCCATGAATGCTAGCTGCGTTCTTGTCTGCCCTTTGACTTGGTTTTTTTTTTTTTTTTTTGATGGAGTCTCCTTCTACGGCCCAGGATGGAGTGCAGTGGAGTGATATCAGCTCACTGCAACCTCCGCCTCCTGGGTTCAAACAATTCTCTGGTCTCAGCCTCCCAAGTAGCTGGGATTACAGGCACACACCACTATGCCCAGCTAAATTTCGTATTTTTAGTAGAGACAGGGTTTCACCATGTTGGCCAGGCTGGTCTCGAACTCCTGAGTTCAAGTAATCACCTGCCTCGGCCTCCCAAAGTGCTGGGATACCAGGGGTGAGCCACCGAGGCTGGCCCTGTCCTTTGATTTTTGAACAAAGAAACTCCTCTTAATGGGTGGAGGGGCCTTTATTAATTTATGTGGTACTGCTCCCAAACCCTAGGCACTGCATATCCCAGTGTCTGGCCTGCTGAGACTGTGCCATACATAGATTGCAGGTGCGGTTATACATGTGCCAGAGGTGCTATAACATGGTATTAAGCGTAGGGTCTTGAGAATTCTAGACTCCTCTACAGACCAAAATGTCTCTTTTGGTGAGGTCCACAGAGGAGTCATGTTTCAAAAACAACAGCAAAGGACAGGAGTATTCCATTTTGTGGACAGCCGGACTTGTTTCTGAAACCTGGATAGTGTTCTGTAATCTGGGATGGACACTTGGCCTGACCATGGCTTGAGAGTCTGCCCTGTCCCTCTAAGCTCTTTCGCAAATCTTCCCAAAGATAGATTTTTGTTTGTTTGTTTTCCTCTCAGACAGGGTCTTTGTCGTCTAGGCTGGAGTGCAGTGGTGTGACCACAATTCACTGCAGCCTCGACCTCCCAGGCTCAAGTGATCTTCCTGCCTCAGCTCCTGAGTATCTGGAACCACAGGCACATATCACCATGCCCAGCTAATTTTTCTGTATTTTCCTTTTGTAGAGATGGGATTTTGCCATGTGGCCCAGGCTGGTCTTGAACTCCTGGGCTCAAGTGATCTGCCCACCTTGGCCTCCCAGAGTACTGGGATTGCAAGTGTGAGCTACTCCACCTGGCCCCACTGATAATTTTAATATGATGAATCATGTTCCAAAGCCAATTAAATTTTAAAAATGTAATACAGTCATGTGCCATTTAATGACGGACTGAATATACAATGGTGGCCTCATAAAAATTATATAATGGAGCTGAAAAGTTCCTATCACTTAGCGATGTCATGGCTGTCATAACGTTATAGCACAATGCATTATGTGTTTGTAGTGCTGGTTGTGTAAGCACACCTATAGTGTGGCCAGTTGTATAAAAGCACAGCACAAACAATAATGCGTGGCTCATGCCTGTAATCTCAACACTTTGGGAGGCCAAGGTGGGAGGATCACCTGAGGTCAGGAGTTCAAGACCAGCCTGTCCAACATGGTGAAACCCCATCTGTACTAAAAATACAAAAATTATCCGGGTGTGGTGGCAGGTTCCTGTAATCTCAGCTACTCGGGAGACTGAGACAGGAGAATTGCTTGAACTCAGGAGGCAGAGGTTGCAGTGCGCTTAGATCCTGCCATTGCACTCTAGTCTGGGCAACAGAGTGTGAAACTCTCTCTCTCTAAATAATTATATTACTAGATTATGTATTTACTATGCTATATGCTTTTATCATTATTTGAGAGTGTACTCTTTCTACTTATAAAAAAAGTTAACTATTAAACAGCCTCAGGCAGGTCCTTCAGAATGTATTCCAGAAGAGAAGAAGGCATTGTTATCATAGGAGATGATAGCTCCATGTGTGTGTTCTTGCCTTTGAAGACCTTCCAGTGGGACAAGATGTGGAAGTGGAAGATAGTGGTATTGATGATCCTGACCCTGTGTAGACCTAAGCTATTGTGTGTGTGTGTGTGTGTGTGTGTGTGTGTGTGTTTCTTAGGATTTTTCTTTTTTTTTTTTTTTTTTTGAGCCAGGGTCTCACTTTGTCACCTAGGTTGGAGTGCAGTGGTGTGATCTTGGCCCACTGTAGCCTTGGCCTCCTGGGCTCAGTTGATCCTTTCACCTCAGCCTCCCAAGTAGCTGAGAATATAGAGGCACACCACCACACCAGGCTAATTTGGTTTATTTTTTGCAGAGATGAGGTCTCACTATGTTGCCCAGGCTGTTCTTGAACTCTTGGGCTCAAGTGATCCTCCTGCCTTGGCCTCCCAAAGTGCTGAGTTTACAGATGTGAGTCACTTTGCCTGGCCTGTGCCCTGGCTTTTAACAAGAAAGTTAAAAAAGTAAAAACAATATATATTTTTTTCAAATTAAAAAATCAGGCTGGTGTGGTGGCATGCACCTGTTGTCCTAGCTATTCAGAAAGTTGAGGCAGGAGGATCCCTTGAGCCCAGGAGGTTGAGGCTTCAGTGAGCTATGATCATACCACGGCACTCCAGCCTTGGTGATGAAGCAAGACCCTATTTACAAATAATAATAATAATAGAAGAAGAAAAAAGCACATAAAAAGCTGGATGTGGTGGCTTATGCTGTAATCCCAGCACTTTGGGAGGCTGAGGCAGAAGGATTGCTTGAGCCCAGGAGTTCAAGGCTACAGTGAGCTATGATCATGCCATTGCACTTTAACCTGGGTGACAGAGGTAGACTCACCTCTGTATAAAAATGAAAGTCTACAGTCATGTATCCTAATCTTCTAGGCCTTCGTATTCACTCACCACTCGCTCAATGACTTACCTAGAGCAACTTCAGTCCCCCAAGTGTCATTTCCTGGTAAATGCTTTCTAGAGGTGTATCTTTTTTATATTTCATACTGTACTTTTACTGTACCGTTTCTATTTTTAGATATATTTAGATACGCAAATATTTCCCACTGTGTTATGGTTGCCTACAGTATTCAGTACAGTAACATGCTGTACAGGTTTTTAGCCTATAGTCTATACAATATAACCTAAGTGTGCAGTTGGTTGTATTATCTGGGTTTGTGTGAATACACCCTATGATGTTCCCACAATGATGAACTTGCCTAATGACACAATCCTCAGTACGTATCTCCATCGTTATGTGCCGCCGCGTGACTTTAAGATAAAAATGAAAAAAAAAAAAAAAAAAAAGAAACCCAGATCTTCTGTAGGGTACTTTTGAGTGAGCAAGAACTGACTATAGTTGTGAGAGGCCATTAAATGAATTTGAGGGGCCCAGTGGTGAAATAAAACACGAAGTAACAAACAAAAAAATGCTACAAATTCATAAGTTGATGGTTTTTCTCCCAAAAAAAAGCTAACTGGGTAGATCACCTCTAAAAGGATGCAGAAACAATTTGGTCACAGGAGTTTCATCTTAAATTAGAGGCTTGAGCAGAGTCAGGAAACTATGTCCCACGGGCCAAATTTGCCCTGCTGCCTGTTTCTGTAGGTGGAGTTTTATTGGAACACAGCCTTGCTTGGTAGTTTATCTGCTGTCTACGGCTGCTTTCGTGCCCATGAGCACAGGTGAATCGTTGCAACAGATACTGTAAGGAAAAGTTTGCTGAGTCCTGAGCTAGGGGGCAGAGATGAGCGGGAGATTTACTTTCATTTTGCATCTTTCAGTGTCATATTATTGAATTAAAAACACTCCAAGCTGGGAGCAGTGACTCACGCCTGTAATCCCAGCACTGTGGAAGGCTGAGGCGAGCCGATCACCTGAGGTCGGGAGTTCAAGACCAGCCTGGCCAACATGGAGAAACCCTGCCTCTACTAAAAATTCAACATTAGCTGTGAGCATAGTGGCGTATGCCTGTGATTCCAGCTACTCGGGAGGTTGAGGCAGGAGAATCGCTTGAACCTGGGAGGTGGAGGTTGTGGTGAGCCTAGATTGAGCCACTGCACTCCAGCCTGGGCAAAAAGAGCAAAACTCCATCTCAAAACAGGGAGACTTCTGGGGACTCACGGAGCACCCATGTTCCAGGCCCCCACACTGAAGGACTAACATTATTCTCATGGGTCATTGACCATTAGCATGAGCTGTTCCTGCTCCTGCATTAGCCCTGCTACCGGATGAGACTGGAGCACTAATTCCATTGTGTTTCCTGGCAGCTCAGAAAGAACAAAATTTCCAGTTAATCACTGGCTGTGAAATCAGCCTACCCTGACTTTCATGAAAAACCATGAGAAAGGCTGAACTGGAAAAGTGAGATTCCGCTGGTTTGTTTCTGCAGGTCTCTGAAAACATCTTTTTAAGCTTGGAAAAGTTCAAAGAGAACCCTCTTCCCCAATTTTCAAATCAGACGGATTGCCAGATTGAGGTGTTGTATTTCTCTTGGTGTTTCATACACTCCTGGCACGTAACTACAAGGGGTCCAGGTCCTGTAGTCTGGGAAGCATCGTGAAAGAAGAGGCTGGAGAAATAGATCACTAAGGTGTGGTCACAGAGCATTGGTTCCCGAGCTCATAGCATGGGAGGACAGTCTGGGCTGTTGAAGTCGGTGGGGGTTGATAGCTCTTCCAGCGCCTCGTCTATGTGTCAACAGATAAAAACGAGTGCCAGTTTGGAGCCACCGTTGTCTGTGGGAACCACACATCTTGCCACAACACCCCGGGAGGCTTCTATTGCATTTGCCTGGAAGGATATCGAGCCACAAACAACAACAAGACATTCATTCCCAACGATGGCACCTTCTGTACAGGTACTCAAAAGGGGGCTGTGGTGTTGGCAAATGGTGGTGGCGGGATAGTATCTGGACTGTGCATTTGTTAATATTAGGGAATTAATGTGAATTTTGTTAGATGGGATAATGGTATTGGGCATAAAAGATAATATTCTTATTTTGGGAGATGTATGCTGAGATATCTTGAGGTGTTATGATTATGTATCTCTAATAGTATTCCTTTAGTGTATAAGCTACTTTAAATGGCAAAATGTAAACAACGATTGAATCCTGGGGGGATGTGGGTCTAGGGGAGTTCATAGTAATAGTCTTTTTTTTTTTTTTTCCATTGTAATGTTCTTTTTACAGGTCTGTGTGTTTGAACTTTTTTTTTTTTTTTTTTTAGACAGGGTCTCTCTCTGTCACCCAGGCTGGAGTGCAGTGGTACAATCTCTGCTCACTGCAACCTCCGTCTCCTAGGTTCAAGTTATTCTCCTGCCTCAGCTTCCCCACTAGCTGGGATTACAGGCACATACCACTACACCCGGCTAATGTTTGTATTTTTGGTAGAGATGGGATTTCGCCATGTTGGCCAGGCTGGCCTCGAAACTCCTGGCCTCAAGTGATCTGCCTGCCTCAGCCTCCCAAAGTGCTGGGATTACAGGCATGAGCCACCACTCCTGGCCTGATCATTCTGATAATGAACAGTGAGGAGGGACTCGCTGGAGATGGTATACCTCCTGTAGGTTCCTATAACTGCAGGTGGGGAATTCTTGGGGTGAGTAGCACTCCCCAGCTCTGAGCATACTAACCTAGGGGCTGGCACTGGGCTGTTGGCTCACAGGAGGTCAGAGTTGTCCCTGTTAGAGGTGTGAGCTTGCTTCCCACATGTGTGAACTGAGTGAGGAGTGCAACTTTTTGGAACACAGTAACTCTGTAGGTTAGATCTCTGAGCATAGGCTGGTCCAATACAGGGTGAGAACAAACTCTTCAAAAAAAAATTTTTTTTTTTTGAGACAGAGTCTTGCTCTGTCACCAGGCTGGAGTGCAGTGGTGCAATCTTGTTTCACTGCAACCTCCGCCTCCCAGGTTCAAACGATTCTCCTGCCTCAGCTTCCCGATTAGCTGGGACTACAGGCGCATTCCACTATGTCTACCTAATTTTTTTGTATTTTTTAGTAGAGATAGGGTTTCACCATGTTAGCCAGGGTGGTCTCAATCTCTTGACCTCATGATCCACCTGCGTTGGCCTCTCAAAGTGCTGGGATTACAGGCATGAGCCACTGCGCCCAGCCAACCTTCCTAATTTTTAGTGGATCCTCTGTTATCTGAACTCTATTTACAGCATGCCATGGTAATGTTGCTGTCTGGCTTTCTAGGAAAATCTTTGAACAGTAATGAAGAGGAAAGGCAGAAAAAGCCTCCTGTTTTTGCATAGGAGATGCTCTAAGATGCTTTTGCGTAGACTTACTCTGCTTAAAAGCTTTGTGAAGGTTTTTAGGGAAAAGAAAAAAGAAAGGGAATATGTTTTATCTTTTTAGTTACCAGGAACCACAGGTTCTTATGCTTGGATTCATTCTTCCTCTTGACCTGTACCAAGGAAAACTCTCTCAAAGAATACATTTAATTTATTCTAGGCATGAACGAACACATTCCTTCAGATAAAACATTTTATAATATCCTGTTGTTTTAGGTAGCAAATTATTGGCTGTGTGGTTGCAGAAGTACAACGTTGCAGTATTAAATTTGGTATATTAAGAAGAAAAGACACCCAGAAAAAAACAGCATACAAGATGATGGTCTAGTGTTCTGTTTATTCAGTTCACATTTCTCATGTACTTTTTCCTTTTTTTTTTTCCTTGAAATGGAGTCTGGCTCTGTCACCCAGGCTGAAGTGCAGTTTCATGATCTCGACTCATTGCAACCTCTGCCTCCTGCATTCAAGCGATTCTCCTGCCTCAACCTCCTGAGTAGCTGGGATTACAGGCTCCTCCCACCATGCCCGGCTAATTTTGTATTTGATTAGAGATAGGCTTTCACCTGTTGTTCAGGTTTGTCTTGAACTCCTGACCTCAGCTGATCCACCTGCCTTGGCCTTCCAAAGTGCTGGGATTACAGGCATGAGCCACTGCGCCCGGCCTCTCATGCACTTCTTACGTGCCAAGGCTGTGCTAGGGGAAGGTGATGAGCAGACAGCTAATTTCAGTATAAAGTGTTAGTCATAGGTAAGCAAATGGCACTTACTAGAATCCAGGGGTGACTTATCTTGGCAGTGAGGAAGGACTTGGGAACTTTCTGGAGAATATGATCTCTGAAATTGTGTTTTCTAGGCTGCGGGAGTTTGCCAGGACAAACTTACAACTGTATATTTATCAGTGTATTTATTTATTTATTTATTTATTTATTTATTTATTTTTTTTGAGATGGAGTTTCGCCCTTGTTACCCAGGCTGGAGTGCAATGGCGCGATCTCGGCTCACCGCAACCTCCGCCTCCTGGGTTCAGGCAATTCTCCTGCCTCAGCCTCCTGAGTAGCGGGGATTACAGGCACGCACCACCATGCCCAGCTAATTTTTTGTATTTTTGGTAGAGACGGGGTTTCATCATGTTGACCAGGATGGTCTCGATCTCTCGACCTGGTGATCCACCCGCCTCGGCCTCCCAAAGTGCTGGGATTACAGGCTTGAGCCACCGCGCCCGGCTATCAGTGTATTTATAGTTCCAAGAGATGAATTCAACTTTTAAAAGTTATGAAGAAAGCTGGGCATAGTGACTCATGTTTGTAATCACAGGACTTTGGGAGGCCAGGGCTGGAGGATCACTTCAGGCCAGGAGTTTGAGACCAGCTTGGGCAACATAGTGAGACTTCATCTTAAAAAAAAATAAGAAAATTAGCTGGATGTGGTAGTATGTGCCTGTTGTCCTAGATACTTGGAAGGCTGAGGTGAGAGGATCACTTGAGCCCAGGACTTTGAGGCTGCAGTGAGCCAAGGTTGTGCCATTACACTTCAGTCTGGGTGACAGAGAGAGACTTGGTCTTAAATTTTATTTTTTAAGTTAGGAAAAAGAATGAGGAGGCGGAGGAGGGAGGAGATTGGTGGGAACAGGAGGAAGGAAGAAGGAGAGAAGAGGAAAGAGAAGAAAATACTTGATGCAAGGGCCAAATAAGTATCAGCTAAACTAGAACCAATCTGTTTGGAATAAAATCCAGATGTAGGCTTTACTTTTGTTTATTCTATTCTTGCAATTATTTAATGATCTTCTCTTTTTAAAAAAATTGAGCTATAGTTTACATACCATCAAATTCATCCTTTTGATGTATACAACTCAGTGGTTTTCAGTATATTTACAAAGTTGTGCTAGCATCACCACTGGCTCATTTCAGAGCATTTCAGTGTCTCACCATGAAGACCATGTCCGCTGGCAGCCATTCCCATGACCTTTCCTTGTGAGTTCTCTAGCTATCACTTAGTAAAAGCTGATGAACTGCTTTTCTTGATAAGACTGTTTGTTTCAGAATCACAGTTGCCAGAGAAATGTCAGTGGGCTTTAGCCAGGGCAGAGCTTAGCAAGTTTCGGGGAATCAGCAGTTGGTCACTGTTTGCCTGGAACCATAGGATGTGAATCCTAGTTCCCATATTCCAAGGAATCCTGCATCCAGGTGTTTATTGTACTTTGCAGAGTCGACATCAAGCTCAGGAGCTGGTTGCAGGTAGGTCTCTGGATGTCACCAACATTAGATAGAGGAGGAATGAATTGGTGGGATTCTAGTGTGAGATGATTCCAGCCAGTCTTGGAGAACTGGCAGATGTTTTGACCCTTAGAACCATCCCCTGAATGACTCCTGGGAATCATGGAAACCACCGTGAGCCACAAGCCAGGAGACGAAGCTCTATGGCACTTCTTCCTGTGTGAGGGTGGTTTGACTTGGATGGGCTCCTTCAGCAATTGAATAGAATTACCAGTTCCCAAACAATGGTGTGAGTGGAGAGGTGTTCATTGATCCAAGACCAAAAAAGAAAGGAGAATAAAGGATATAAAAAGTTCAAAATGATTCTGAGACAATTTCTTTTCTCTTTTGGAGGCTAAGATATCCTTTTTTTTTTTTTTGAGGCGAAGTTTCACTCTTCTTGCCCAGGCTGCACTACCACGGCATGATCTTGGCTCACTGCAGCCTCTGCCTCCTGGGTTCAAGTGATTCTCCTGCCTCAGCTTCCTGAGTAGCTGGCATTATAGGCGTGCACCACCACGCCCAGCTAATTTTTTGTATTTTTGGTAGAGATGGGGTTTTACCACATTGGCCAGGCTGGTCTTGAACTCCCTGCCTCGGCAAGTGATCTGCCTGCCTCGGCCTTCCAAAGTGCTGGGATTACAGGCATGAGCCTGGCCCTAAAATGTCCTTTTAATGAAAGAAATTACAGCCAGTTGTGTTGGCTCATGCTTGTAATCCCAGCACTTTGGGAGCTGAGGTGGGTGGATCACTTGAGGTCTGGAGTTCGAGACCTGCCTGGCCAACAGGGTGAAACCCTGACTTTACAAAAAAAGCCCAAAAAGTTAGCCGGGTGTGGTGGCGCACACCTATAGTGCTAGCTACTCAGGAGAGTGAGGTAGGAGAATTGGTTGAACTCTGGAGGTAGAGGTTACAGTGAGCAGAAATTATGCCACTGTACTCCAGCCTGGGCAACAGAGTGAGACTCAAAAAAAAAAAAAAAAAAAGAAATTATGGTAGACTTTCTTCAATTATGCTGCTTCCTATCTACTGCTCAATCCCTGATGTTTTTATACAAATGGCCTAGGAATTTCAGTTAAGGCACTTTTTTTTTTCTCCAAGTGGAATTGATCTATGTCACTCTGATGAAAATATTGTTATTATTATTTTTAGAGATGAGGGTCTCACTATGTTGCCCAGGCTAGCCTTGAACTCCTGAACTAAAAGCAATCCTCCTGCTTCAGCCTCTTGAGTAGCTGGGACCATAGGCATGCACAGCCATGCCCAGCTGATGGAATTTTTAAAGTTTTAAAGTCAGTTCTGAGGGAAAAACTACTAACTGGCAGAGAGATTTCTTCTCCCGCCTCTGGCTTGTTGGGCATTTCTTACCCTGTACCTGCTGTTTCTGGTAGTCTTCAGTCACATGGAAAAAGTCTGCAAAGGGGCATGTCCTGTCCTTCTTGAAGGCTGTTTTAAGCCCTTCTGATTTTCATAAAATTAGCAAGAACTTTTCTAATTAAATTACTACCCTACTACCTGCCATACCATCCTATACTCATGAGCTGGCATTTTCACTCTCCTGGAGACTGTTTTCCTTATTTAAAACATTAAAAAATTTGTTTATATTTTAAGTTATTATTATTATTTTTTTAAAAGCCAGGGTCTCACTTTGTTGCCCAGGTTGGTCTCAAACTCCTGGACTCAAGTAGTTCTCTCACTTTAGCCTCCCAAGGTGCTAGTGTTACAGGCATGAGCCACCGTGCCAGGCCTGTAAATGTTTTCTCTCTGAAGCTACTTTAGATGTTTTAGTATGAGGTTGGGACCATTCTTTTGTTATAGTGACTGGATGTATTTATAGTGACTGGATGTATTTATAGTGACTGGATGTATTTAGTGTTTGGATATTTTTTAGTGATTGGATATATTTATAGTGATTGGATATATTTATGGTGATTGGATTTTTTTTAGTGATTGGATATATTTGTAGTGATTGGATATTTTCAGTGATTGGATTTTTCATTCATTCATTTTTTTTTTTTTTCCCAAGACAGAGTCTTGCTCTGTCACCTAGGCTGCAGTGAATTGGCATGATCTTGGCTCACTGCAACCTCCTTCTCCTAGGTTCGAGTGGTTCTCCTGAGTCAGCCTCCTGTGTAGCTGGGACTACAGGTGTGTGCCACCGTGCCCAGCTAATTTTTGTATTTTTAGTAGAGATGTAGTTTCACTATGTTGGCCAGGGTGGTGTCAAACTTCTGATCTCAAGTGATCTGCTTGCCTTGGCCTCCTGAAGTGCTGGGATTACAGGCATGAGCCACTGTGCCCGGCCAGGGCATTTTTTAGTGATTGTATATATTTATGTTTTTGAGCTCATTTTGTTTGATGTCAGAGAGTTGGTGATGGTTATTGGTTTTGTAAAATCCCAGAACACACTGACAAACATTTATCGAGCACTTGCTATGTTTTTAGTGCTTATGATGTGAACGATATATGAGAAGAACCTGTAAAGCATAAAATAAAATTTCTGATACAATTGCAAACAAATGCATCCTTTTATAAGAATAACTTGAACATGTGAAAAAATGACTATCACAAATATCCTCTCCTGTTGTTTTTATTTTTTTCTGTTTTTCTCTCCTTTTCTCTATTTGGATTGGGTTTCAAGACATAGATGAGTGTGAAGTTTCTGGCCTGTGCAGGCATGGAGGGCGATGTGTGAACACTCCTGGGAGCTTTGAATGCTACTGTATGGATGGATACTTGCCGAGGAATGGGTCTGAGCCTTTCTACCCGACCACCGATGCCACATCATGCACAGGTGGGTTTCTGCCAACAAATGCAGCATCTCAAGGTGAAATTCTGTTGGTGGTGATTTTCTACTGTTCCAAGCCTGTGTTGGGGATGTGGGTGGAGGTGATCTGATCCTTTGCACATTTTCTACAGCCTATGGAATAAAGCAAATAACAACAATCAAGTTAGAGGGGACCATGGTAGAAAGCTAAAATTAATCCCAGGAGCGGTGGCTCATGCCTGTAATCTCAGCACTTTGGAAGGCTGAGGTGGGTGGATCACTTGAAGTCAGGAGTTCGAGACCAGCCTGGCCAACATGGTGAAACCTCGTCTCTACTAAACATACAAAAATTAGCTGGGCATGGTTGCACATGCCTATAATCCCAGCTACTTGGGAGGCTGAGGCACAAGAATTGCTTGAACCTGGGAGACGGAGGTTGCCGTGAACTGAGATCATGCCATTGCACTCCACCCTGGGTGACAGAGTGAGAGTCTGTCTCAAAAAAAAAAAAAAAAAAAAAAAAAAAAAAAAAAAAAAAAATGCTAAAAGCTAAAATTAGTAAACATAAAGAATTTTTATTAGCAGTTAATAGATATTCTGATATAAACTACTATGTTACCTAGTAAACACTGATGATTTGGTAAGGACCTTGCATCTCAAAAGGGACCCTGAAAATTATCAAGGTACATGTATCTTAAGGTATTTTGCAATTCAGATTTTTATTTCATTGGACAAGGCTTCTCTTTAGTTAGTGTAAATTAGTGAGGGTTGATTGCTAAATTCTTTCAGCTTTGTGCATATATAGATGCTTTACCTATGGAAAGACAAAAGACTGAATAAAGACAATTGTGGGAAATGTTCCCAGAAGTCATGTGGGAATGAACCAGTGTACTTAAAATATGGCTTGGGGGTGTGTGTGTGAGGAATAAGGTAGAGGTGGAGAGAGATTCTGAATTTTGAAGATTTACATTCACAGGGTAAAGAATTTGACATTAACTTATTTTCAGAAATAGAATGTGGCACCCCTCCTGAGGTTCCAGATCATTATATCATAGGAAATTATATATCTAGGCTGGGCAGCCAGGTTCGTTATGCTTGCAGAGAAGGATTTTTCAGTGTTCCAGAAGATACAGTTTCAAGCTGCACAGCCCAGCGCACATGGGAGTCCCCAAAATTACATTGCCATGGTGAGTTTTTGAAAAGTTCAAACTCCCAGTTCATACCACCTTGAGACTGTTTTCATATTTTTCTCTAAATTTCACTTTTAGGGAATAAATGAGTTAAGTACATCTTTAAAATTCCTATTAGTTTCTAATAGATTTTCAGTTGATTTTCTTTATATTTTCAGGAATAGTATTATATCATCTGCAAATAATGATTATTCCATTTTTAAATTTTTCTTTCTTTGTAAAAGCTATGGTTTTCTCTTGATTGATCACTTTGTATTTTCAAAACAAAGTCTTAAATGGTAGTGTTGCCTTTGAATATTATTTTTTTTCATACCTGACATTTTAGGAAATGATTTTGGTGTTTCTTCATTCCTGATATCAGTTTTTTGATGTTAGGTATATCCTTTTTTTTTTTTTTTTTTTTTTTTTTGAGACAGAGTTTCTGTTACCCAGGCTGGAATGCAGTGGCATGATATTGGCTCACTGCAACCTCTGCCTCCTGGGTTCAGGTGAGTCTCATGCCTCATTCATTGAATAACTGGGATTACAGGTATCTGTCACTACACTAATTTTTGTATTTTTAGTAAAGATGGGGTTTTACCATGTTGGCCAGGCCGATCTTGAACTCCTGAATCTCAAGTGATCTGCCCGCTATGGCCTCCCAAAGTACTGGGATTACAGGTGTGAGCTACTGTGCCCAGCTGATATTAGGTATATCTAATCATGTCCATTCATATTGTAGCAGGAGCGGCGGGGAACAAACCTCTTGAACACCAAATTGAGGAAGGAAGTGGCTTTTATTTGGCTGGGAGCTGTGGGAGGCTACAGTCTTACTCACCGAGCTCCCCAAGCTACAGCTTCTCTCTCCTTTTATAGGCTTACAATGCTAAAGGGGAAATCGAGGCAGAACTATGTCATTGTCCATTTACTGGACTTCTGACCTTACAATCTTTTGGTTTTATTGATTTGCTACTTTATTTGCAGCGTGAGTGGGGACTAGCAGGGGAGGGGGCTTACAGAGATAAGACAAAAGCAACAAGCTGTTTGTTGGCAGAGGTGTTTCCAGGAGGGAGCCTGATCTGTGGAGATGTGGGGCGTGACCCAGTGCCGGGCTCCAGTCAGCAGGGATAACATTCATTTGCAGCTCTTTCAAGTCTAACAGACAGCAGAGATGCTGGGAACTAAAAAGGGAGTCATTTTCCCAGCTCTTTGGTATTTTATTTCATTTTTTTTCCTTCTTCACCCTCCTTCCCATCTGGAAGGATGGGAGGGAGGAGGTGATATTAAAGGAGGCGAGGGGGTCTCCCCTCTCAATATGGCACTGTGTGCCAAGTACTGTTTTAAGCACTTTATATATGATGACGGACCATATTGCAGTGGTCCATAAGGTCATAATGAGATTGAAAAGTTCCTATTGCCTAGTGACATCATAGCCTACAGTAGTCAGTACAGTAACATGCTGTATGAGTTTGTAGCTTAGGAGCAATAGATATACCATACAGCCTGAGTGTGTAGCAGGCTCTACCATCTACCATCAGGTTTGTGTAAGTACACTCTGTGATGTTCACACAACAAAGAAATCGCCTAATGGTGCATTTCTTAAAATGGTGCATTTCTTAAAATGTACCATTATGCATTTGTTTGCCGGTTGTTAAGTGATGCATGACTGTAATTTGTTTAAGGTTACACAACTAGAGACAGAGCTAAACTTGAACCCAGGAATTCTAGTTTCAAAATTGTTTTCATCCACTTTGTTATACTGCTTCTGTTTTTATGATGATACTGGCTTTTGGTTAGTTTTTTTTTTTTTTTTTTTTTTTTTTTTTTTTTTTTAATTTTGGCTTTCTGTTTCTTTTTCATTTTCTTTTCTTTTCTTTTCCTTTTTTTTTTTTTTTTGAGACAGAGTCTCACTCTGCCACCCAGGCTTGAGTGCACTGATGCAATCTTGACTCATTGCAACCTCCGCCTCCTGGGTTCAAGCCATTCTCCCACTCCAGCCTCCTGAGTAGCTGGGGCTACAGGCATGAGCTACCATGCCTGGACAAATTTTGTATTTTTTACAGAGATGGGGTTCTGCCATGTTGCTCAGGCTGGTCTTAACCTCCTGGGCTCAGTGATCTGTCCGTCTCTGCTTCCCACAGTGCTGGGATTTCAGTCATGAGCCATCACCATGCTTGACCTGGCTTTCTGTTTCTGTCTACAAATATTACCATTTTATGTGCCTGTTTCTGCCTGAAAAATGGAAAAAAAATTTTTTAAATTATCATTTCACCAGTTTTTGGCTCTATGTACATCATCTTAAAGAAGCACCAATTTATTCCCACTTTTTAGGAATTTTTTTTAATTAAAAATAAGTTTTTAAAAAAATCATGTCTTTTAGAATAATGTGGCCAGATGCAGTGGCTCATGCCTGCAATCCCAGCACTCTGGGAGGTCCAGGCAGGCAGATAGCTTGAGCCCAGTAGTCAAGACCAGCCTGTGTGTGGCGCTGCATGCCTGTTGTCCCAACTACTTGGGAGGCTGAGGTGTGAGGATCACTTGAGGCTGGGAGGTTGAGGCCTCAGTAACCTGTGATCATACCACTGCTGTCCAGCCTGGGTGACAAAGTGAGACCCTGTCTCACTAAAAAAAAAAAAAAAAAAATTAATAATAATGTGAGGGTTATATTGTAAGATTTCCTGATATGATCAGTACTAATTGCTGGAATGAATTAATTTGTGATTTTTGGTGTTTTTTTCCTTTCTTTGGGATTATATTTGCTAAATTTTACTTGGAATTCTTACATGGATATTCATAGGTGAAATTGGTCTACTTTCTTTTCCTGTGCCATCTTTGTTCAGTTTGGTATTAATGTTATTCTGATTTTTTAAAAAAAGAATATAAAAATATCCTTCTTTCTCTATTTCTGGAATAGTATAAATATAGTTTTTAAAGATTTTGGACATTTCACCTGAAAAACTACCTGGATGTGGCATGATTGGAAAGGTAGCCCTTGGACTATTTGGACTATTTAAAAATTCTTGTTATACTTACTGGTGTATTTTTCTTTCCCTCTTAAGATCAATTTTGGTAATTTATGTATTTCTAGAAAATTATTTATTTCATCCAGATTTTCCAATTTATTTGTGAAAAGATGTATAAAGCCTTCATACTTCTAATTTGCTGTAGTTATATTTCTTTATAACTATCATAGTGAAATATTAGAAATAATCTCAAATGTCTAACAATAAGAGATTGGTTAAGTAAATCATGGCATATCCTTAAAATGGAATATTATGTATCCATAAAATTATGTTAGAAAAACAGTATTTAAAAAAGAATATTTATTATAGGCCAAGTGTGGTGGCTCACGCCTGTAATCCCAGCACTTTTGGAGGCTGAGGTGGGCAGATCACGAGATCAGGAGTTTGAGACCATCCTGGCCAGCATGGTGAAACTCTGTCTCTACTAAAAATACAAAAAATTAGCTGGGCATGGTGGTGTGCACCTGTAATCCCAGCTACTTGGGAGGCTGAGGCAGGAGAATTGCTTGAACCTGGGAGGTGGAGGTTGCAGTGAGCCAAGATCACACCACTGCACTCCAGCCTGGGTGACAGAGTGAGACTCCTTCTAAAAAAAAAAAGAATATTTATTGACATAGATAAGTATTAATAGTATGTTTCAGAGTTACAAATTCTGTGAATAACAATCTTAATTTTGAAAAAGTTCTCATATGCAGATAAGCTTATATAAATGTATTTATATGTATTTATTTATGTTTTTGAGATAGAGTCTCGCTCTGTTGGCCAGGCTGGAGTGCAATGGCACGATCTTGGCTCCCTGCAACCTCCGCCTCCTGGGTTTAAGCGATTCTCCCTG